GGCCGGAGCTCGCCCGCCCTTGGCGACTGGCAGTGGCCCGGGACCGTGTCACTCAGGCGGGAGCCGGCCCGGGGAGGGAGCTGCGGGGTGAGTCACCGGCAGGAAACCGATTGCATCAGGATCGGGGCTGGTTTTCCGGCCGGGGCTCCTGGAAAACCCCGCTCCGGCCGTCCCCCCCCCACCACCGCCTCATCCATCCCTTCTCTCCCCAGCGCCATGGAGAAGGGAGCCAGCCCTTCGACCAGCAGCTCGGTGGCCTTGACCTCGTCTTCCACAGCCACTTTCAAGGAGGAACTACTGTGCCCCATCTGCTACGAGCCTTTCCGGGAAGCTGTGACTCTTTGCTGCGGCCATAACTTCTGCAAGGGCTGCGTGAGCCGTTCCTGGGAGCATCGGCACCACGTGTGCCCCGTCTGCAAAGAGGCCTCTTCCTTCGACGACCTGCGCGTCAACCACACTCTCAACAACCTGGTGGAGATGATCCTCAAGGAGGAAGGGCAGCGGCAGGGCCGGACGGTCGCTCTCTGTCCCCTGCATCACGAAGAAGCCAAACTCTTCTGCCTGGAAGATAAGGAGCTGGCGTGCTTCATCTGCCAGAGCTCCAAGCAGCACGAAGGGCACAAGATGCGGTTGGTGCAGGAGGCGGCGGCGGATTTCAGGGTGAGGGTCGCTCTGGGAAAGCAGGGAGGCACCCCAACATCTGGAAGGGTGCAGCTTGTGCAAATCCCCGGCACAAACTTGCCAGCGCACAGTTTTGGCTCGTGGTTGTAAACGCTGGCATGCCAGGACGGGGTGAAAGATGAAGCAGCCACGCTGCCAGGGTGGGTCCAAATGCTCTCCCTGCCTAATAATTACCCAGTGCCACCCCGTCCCCCCAGGCACGGCTGTTTGCCCTGCGGGAAAGGGGAGCAGGGTGATGCTCCCAGGGGTTTGGAGAGCGGCCCAGTCCCCACGTTTCCTCGGCTCGTTCAATCCTTCACCGGGTTGGGCTGGATCCGGCCACGCTGGTTCCTGCAGGAACTGGTTATTGCAGCAATGCCTCGGGGTTGGGAGCGGATTTGAGGTGGGGGGTTGCACAATTCCCCCAGCTGGGGAGGGACGTGGGATGGGGAGACAGCCCCGAGCCTCGTGGGGATGGGCCATGGCTGTGCAGGGAGGAGGAGGAGGAGGAGGAGATGGGTTCCGGCCGGCCGCTGGGCATTGTGCCAGGACCCGCCGTGTTTCCCGGTCGGCAAAACAGCCGCTGCCGCCCTGACTCAGCCCACGGAGGACGAGCCAGATTTTAAATGTCGCGGGGCAGCCGTGAAGCTGCTGTTTTGCCAGGCTTGGCAGGCTGCCTGCAGTGCTGAGCCTCCCTGGGAGCGGGGCAGCGCCTGCCTGCAGCGCCGGGACAGGCAGGGACTTGACAGTGTGTCTGTAAAAGGGCTTAAAAACAGCGTGGGGGGAGGATTCACCACGGAGCAAAACTCTGTAGGGGCGGCGTGTTTGCACAGCCCCACGCCAAGCTGACCCTGTGCAGCACTGGCAGACCTCGGCTGCAGGAGGGGAAAGGGTGTATTGAGCAAGGATCCTGCTTAACCTCGTCCTACTGGGTTTGGGGCTCTTTGTCTTTCCGCATCAACAACCCTGGGCGTAGCTTTGCGAGGGTCCTGAAGGCGTCTCCTCCCCGCAGGCCAAGCTGAAGAACATGGAGACCTCCCTGCGAGATAAGGTGAAGGATTTTGGGGCCGTGCATCGCTCGTACGAGTCCATCTCAAAACACAACCAGGTGCGTGATCCCTTCTGGCAGGGAGACAAAGGGCCTGATCCTGACACGTGTGTCCAAATGCATTTACACACATCCACACACCCTGGGTGGGAATGTCTGGAGTGGAGCGCTGCTCCCATCCTGGGTTGCTCCATCCCAGAGTGAGGAGAGCGATGCTGGGGGCAGGAAGGCCTCAGATTACAGAATCCCAGAATCATTCAGGCTGGAAAAGCCCCTCGGGACCATCGAGTCCAACCCTCAGCCCGACTCTACAAAGTTCTCCCCTACCCCACATCCCCCCCCAGCTCATCCCAACGGCCCTGAAACCCCCCCAGAGATGGGGACGGGGATGGTGAGGTGAGGAATTGGGGACCAGGGTGATGGGGCTGTGCCTGCTGTGGCAGCAAGGACACTGATTTTGGGAGCCTGACATGGTCCCAGTGAGTCCCTGAGCGCTGGAGTTGGGCACAGGGCTCCGGAGGAGCATTTAGGGGGAGGATTTGGGGAACCTGGAGGAGTTGTGGGCTCCAAAGGGAGGTGGTGACATCCCCGCATGGGGCAGGTGGAAGCGACACGGCTGGAGGAGCAGATCAGGAAGGAGTTTGAGAAGCTGCATGAGTTTCTGCGGGACGAGGAGAAGGCGCTGCTGGCCCAGCTGCAGGAGGAGACGCGGCACAAGCATGGCCTCATCGAGAGCAAGATGAAACAGCTGGCAGAGGAGAGTCGGGCCCTGCTCAACGAAGCCTGTCAGCTCCGGGCAGACCTCAAGGAGGATGATTACACCTTCCTCATGGTAAAGCCCCCTTGGGGTGCTCACCCTCACTGTGGCACCCTCCTGCCTCTGCTGGGCTGTGAGCAGGGTGATCCTTTGGGGGTTTGCAAGCCCCCGTGAGCCCTTCAAAGCCAGGGGTCTGATGCCTGGTGTCTTCTTCTCTTTTAGGCCCACAAAAACCGCAAGCGCAGGTAAGTCCTGGTCCCTGATGTGTCCCCTGCCCGGCGACACGGGGTGACCGAGCCTCTGTGTGCCCTTCCTGGGGCTGAGTGGCATCTCCTGCCCAACTGCAGAGTGGGATCTTTGCCCCAAGCAGCTTCCTGTACCCGTGTGTCCCCTCCAGGTCTGGGTGCAAGGTTCTGGGGGTCCCCAAGGCCAGGCAGCGCCCCTGGGTGCCTCTGGGCAGGAGGTGGGGGGCACACGTGCGGGAACAAAGCAGCATTGCTGGTCTTGGGGGAAGCATTAAAACCCTGATAGTCGGGGGGGATTTGGTGCTGGGACCCTCCTGGGATGATTCACCACGCTCGTGGGGTGAGAGCAAGGTTTGGGAGATGTGGGGTGCTGGTGGGGAAGCCCCTGCCACAACATGGGGTTCCAGGAGACCCAGTCTGGTCCCTTCCTCCATCCTCTGCCCCATCTTCATCCTCTGCCTCTGCCCCAGGATCGCCTGCACGGCCGAGGAGCCGGAGGCCGTGTCCTCGGGGATGCTCCTCAACGTCGCCAAGTACCTGGGCTCGCTGCAGTACAACGTGTGGAAGAAGATGCTGGACATCATCACCGTAGGTGAGGTGCTGGATGCCCCCCAAAACGGCGTTGTCCCAGGGCTAAAGCAGCTTTTGTGGGGGGCTGCCCCCGGGGGGGGGG